GAATCTGCCTATATTCTGGATTTAAAAATGTCTTTTTTTTTTTTTTTTTTTTTTTTTTTTTTTGCAGCTAAACAAAAGAAAGAAATCTTATTTAATTTTATTCTAAAATAAATGCAGGTATTTTATATTTATTTAGCAGCATATGTAAGCAAAAAATGTGCATTAAATTTCATCATGGTATGTCATCATACTGCTAAAATTAGTTTCAGGAATATGCCAGAGAAAATTGCCTGGAATTTGAAAGTATTACTAATAATAAATAAATATAAATAAAAATATAAAATAAAAGTAAACTAATAATAGATAAATTTAGAAGGAAGAAAACACATTAATTGATATGAATAACATTAAAATAAATTACTTAAAGATTAAAAACTGAATTACAATAATCAATGATATTTTGGCGAATAATTATATTAAATTTTTAGCCCAGATTAGTGATAACTAATTTTTTTATTTTTATTTTACTGTAAAATGGCAAATAAGGCATTCATTAAAAAGTAAAAAAAAGTTTTTGAAGATTTTGTGGTTAAACCCTAGTATATGGTACGGCCTCAGCACGACTTTGAAAACTATCGCCAACACCAAAATGACCTGCTTACTGCTTATCATAATATTGATAAATCCTGTGTGTACCATATAACCAGGATTAAACTGATTTTGTTTTATACGAGAATGGGAAGGTACTTTCTTTAGTTCAACATGCTCTATACAGGCAAATCTTGATTCTAGAAGTTATTGGAAACCAAAGTTGCTGAAAACTGCCTTTCTGAGACAATTTTATCGCATCTGTGAAAATTAGCTCTATGCCAACTGCCCGAATGACGCTCACACGGTACATAATTCGCCAAGAAAGTGATCATTTCAACCGTTGGTGTAAAAATCGCTTTATGGGGGATCGTCGTATGAAATTTATCAACTTTTATAATCAATTTTCAAATTCTCCGACTTTTCCAGGTGGGGTGGCAACCCTACAAATAATTGGTTTGGTGCAATATAAGACTTAACATGAAATTTCCTCTGAATTAGTGATTTTACAAACTACTCATTATAATTTTCTTACACTTGCTTTAATACAAGAAAATTTATTTATTTTATACACCAATAGCCTGATAGAAGTTCAAATTCTAAATACTTGTAAGGTGATATACTTTAAAATATTAAATATTTAATTTGAAGCATTAAAAAAAGATCAAATTTCAAACCAAAAGAATACTAATATGGCTAATATGCATTAATATTCTGCGTATCAGTATTGCTAAATATGTGTTTGCTTTGGCTTCATTCTCAAAGAATAAATAACAGCTACTGCAATCATGAATATGCCTCTGAAAATAAAAAAATTCTTCTCGGTATTAAGATTTAAATGAAATCAGAAAAATATAGCTGCAAAGATAAAAAATATTCCATGACTATAGCTACCTTTCATAACTATGCATGTGTTCCTTTTTTTAAGAGCTATTTCTTTTAGTTTCATAAACATGTAGCTCTAAAATTTTCCACATCAAGAGAATAGTATCTATTCACTTTTTTCAAAATTAGGGCATACTGTCAAATAGAGTGCTGTAATTCTTATATAATAAAATTATACATCTTGCTTGGTAGAAGCATAATGCTGGTAAGGCATAGGTAAACTATCTATATAAAAGTGAAAAATTGGTTTCCAGGAAGCAGAACATATTTACAGTCATCAAATGACATTTTTGGTGTTGATCAACTATTTTCATCTAACAGGGAAGACGACAGAGTGTGTACAGTCCACAGTAGCATGCAATATCAAATTTCTGCAATTCGCTGATGTTCTTTTGAAGCTAAATAGATCACCAAGACAATTTCGGTCTTTCACGGTAATATGAGGAGCACCAAGACATGCTTTACATTCGTCTAAAGAACTAAAACACATTTTTTCCTATCCTTTTAAAAATGCTGCAATGCATATTAAGATTTAATTAATTTTCTATCGCCAGCACACTGTATACATAAAAATGAGATTCACTCACTTCTCATATCAGAAAATAATAATCCAGATCTTTTAATCCGCAAAAGAGCATCCTTTGCATTTCTGGTGCATTTTTTAGGGGGGAGGGGGAAAATGATGAAAATTTTTAAGTCTGGGAACCTAGCATTTCCCATTAACATTACAGACCTTCATTTCAGGGTTATGACAGCAAACTCGTGTCTACAGTTACAATCTTCCTCCAAAAATTAAGCTCAGCATAGGTACAATCCAGTATATCAAGTCTGGGAATAAATTTTGTTATCATAAAACACCTATCACATATGCTATTCATAGCCAGAACAAGGCGTCGAAAGAAATATTTCTAAGAACGTCATTCTTGGAAACCTACCTAGCTAGGTTATCATCTTCACTTGGTAAAGACTTTAATGCTAAACAGGAATCAGTTATCGCTCAGATTCGCAAAAGAGACGTTTGCTTTCAAATTTCGTGTATATACAAAATATATTTTGTAATTATCTCAATACTGTTGGCTCAGTACCTTGGTACTGGGCCAAGATTTAATCCTTACTTTTAAATTCAATATTTTACTCCAATTCTTGTAATGAGCTCTTGTATATATTTTTGTAAATACTTTTACATCGTTCATTCCATGATGTCATTATTTCTGATTTTATTATTGTAAATAGAATTTTTTAATCCATATATTTATTTAATAACTTTTATGTACACAATATAATGCCATTTACTGATATATGCTTTAGGATGAGTAAAAAATATTTATTTTATCCCCAAAATGTTAAATATTTCATAAAGGTTACTTGATCAGTTATTTTTTTTAATTTCCAAGTAAATAGCAAATGCAAAGGTTGTGTGTAAATGGGTGAATATTAATGACTAGCCTAATGCACAAAATTATGATTTTAATTATTTTTCACCTGTGTATTACATATCCAGGATAATGTGCAAAGAGCTGACGACTATAGTTGCTGACAATTACATGATCGTTACATAAATTAGGAGTAACTTCAAATAAACTTTCTGGCAATGTTCATTTTTGCATTCATATATACATGTAACGGTGAAACACTGAAATCTGGAGAATGTCGACTTTCACCGGTGAATGTCAACATTCACGTAGTCACTTGGTGTGTGTCCGAAATATTTTCCAAATACTCTTATTTCTGACTTACACCGGTAAATGTTGACATTCACCATGTACTAATGGTGAATGTTGAACATATAAGAATATTATATTTTCTTCTCCGTAATTCAGTCACGAAAAAACACACTTGAGACAAATTAAGAACACACAGTACATTCAAAATGAGAAAGGAAAATAATAGAAGTTAAAAACTTACTGAATTATACAGTACGTTCTAAACGAGAAAATAAAATAATAGTAACAAAAAAACTTACTAAATTTTGTAATTCAAATCTTATTTATTGCAACAACTTAAACTATTATGACACTTTGAATTGTCGATGCCTCTCTTTTCGACCTACACCTGAGCATATCTGTGATTGTCGACATACACTGGTGAGGGTCTGAATGTACACGAATGTAATGCAATATTCGATCTTTCACCGACGTATTTGGTGAAAGTTGACATTCACCAATTTCGGTCTTTCATGGTAATATACACACACATATAATAAGTCGTATATTTACATACACATAGAGAAAAGAGATGCGATGGTTTAGAAGTTGTTGATGTATGTTTATTAGTATTAATATAATGAATAAGATTTATATTAAAGAATGAATATACAAATGTTTTTCATCATTCACAATAATAATCCATAAATTTCCAATGTTTCAATATGTAGCATGTGTAATAAAAATATAGTTCTTAATGTACTTATAATCTAAAACATATTTCATTAATAACTTGAAAATAATAGCATACAAATTTAATGCATATTCTCATTATTACATAAGCTAAGTTTTTCTTTTTTATACAACTTTTATGTTGTTTACAGTATGTCGAGTCATGCATATACAAATTTTAAAAAATTATTCACCTTAAATTTAATAAAAAAATTATATAACAATAACATTTCTTTTCACACGATCAGCACGAAATACGACAAATTTGGCAAACTTTTGTAAACAAATCATCAAGAGCACATCATAAAATACAGTCTCCTCTGAAATTTCCACAATTATAAATTTAACGAATATATAAACATAAACATTTTAAAAATGACTTGGACAGTTATACTACAATAAAACAGTAATATATACAAATACACAGCTTTTTCCATATTTCTTGAATTAAATCGCAGGATACCCTCCAGGATCTCGCAGTTGCAGCCATCGCCATATTAAAAATTACACATGATCCTTCAGAAGCAGAACTTTTGTCCGATAGGTTGATCTCTACGGTTAATTTCTACAGCTGCAAACGACACAGTTTCAGAAAAGTTTCAAAATGTTCCTCGTAGCATGGACACCACTTTCTCAGCTAAACGGAACATTCTTTGGAAACCTGCCATTTAAACCAGTGCTACTAGAATCTCGTTTCTCGGAAATGTCTTGCCTAGCCAAGGTTGTCGCTAGATATGATAAGGGAGCACAAATCAAAATGATAACTAATTGTACTAAATCAAATTTTTATTTTATAATGCTGATGAAGTGTAAACTCACAAAAATATTCAGTACTCGTGATTTCTGCATAATCATCTCACTGCATACCTTGATATTAATATGAACTTTTTCTGCTCTTAGTGGTGCATATTATTTATATGAATAAGACATTCAAAATTTGATCGTAAAGTACCTTGAAAATGAAAAAGCACAGTTCAGTAGCTATTAATCATAATAGCAATAAACATAAGTAGTAAATGAGCAAATATTGATGCAAATCAATAATTTAAAAAAGCTAGAAATCAGAGTAACATATGTGCAAGTAAATAAATCACTGACACATAAAGATTTGCCTGTTCAACAGACATAAACACAAATTTTAAACACTCAGTAAAAAGGAATACTGTTAGCTGAATGAACAAAATTAAAAAGACAAAATACAAAAGTCATTACCTCTTCATTATACAATTTGCTAAGTTCTTTCTTGATAGGATCAATTAATTGAATTTGACCGGCAGAAAAGCCCACCAAAAGAGAGACTCCTTCATTCGTTACAGTGCACTGATTAAAATCATGGCACGTTGGGTATGTGCCTTTATAGACTCGTTTATCAACAGGCTTTGTCAAATCAGCTGCCTAAAATACAAAAGAAAGTCATAATTTTTAATTAATATTCATTTTTCCAATGAACATTTAAAAATTCTAATATGAATATATATTACAATTATTTTTTCACTGGGTATTTTCAGATATATAGAGATAGATGCCAACCTTTGGACAAAGCTATCAGTAACCCCGAACTGAATTAATCAGAAATAGTTAACTGAATCACTAATACTAGTAATCAGTCCATAAAAAATATTGACACACCTGGAATTCGGTAATAATTACGGAAAATATGTAATAGTATCTCCCTAGCACTTTGTGCAGGCAAAGCAAGTTGGTTTGGATTCGATTATAGCAAAGTTTACAATAGTTATATGCCAAACAGAAAGGATACCTTTGTGCTAGATTTTCTATGGGAAACTGGCAAGCATTTACATTACAAATGGCGAAAACCACTACAACCCATGCAGCCAGCCCATTTGCTAAAATCTGAAGCTAAGTCAAATTAAGTGTTCAGCGGTTTTACCACTTGCCCATAGGTGGCCTAGGAAAGTGCCCATAGGAAAGTGAACAACTGGAATATCCAGTTACGATTATCTCTAACAGGGTTTGGGACTGTACACATCAAATAAGTGACATGATAAAGAATGAAACCAACTGAATCTTTTTTAACTCTGATTGCAACTTATGTAAACAGTGCATTTACTAATTATCCTGAATATATGGGAGAAACATTCTTATTATGGCAATCAGTATCTGTCAATTTATGATTTTATTTGAATTTTCCAATTTGGGAGAGTTTTGTATCCGTGGTCACAGGGTTAATGACTGAAGCACATGAGATAAATAACTACATATGCTGGATCAATATGTATTCTGAACCCAAAGAACCATTTCCTCACAATTCCAGAATGATGGTATTTTTTTATAGCATCATGCTCATACCACAGATGTACTGTACTGCGCAAACAGTCTCCACTCAGAACCACAGGGCAGCTAAGTCACAATCTTGCAATCTCAACATCCCAGCATTCAATTTTTACCTATACAGTTAAAAGACCAATGGATACAATTAGATGATTCTGTTTACATCCCATTTCGCTCAAGTTTACAGAGGTATGGTAGCAGATCAAACTGGATATCTCAGCAAATAAGTGGAAGGATGCACATTATGCAGGCCTTCTGAAAGGTTTTCTCAACGATGCACAATTTTCAGGACAACGTAAATTTAAGTTCTAAGGCTCCCCTTGTTCTTTAATTTTTTTTAATGCAGCCTGTATGTGTAAATATGATTGTTTACATACATTTCTTTAGTATACTGCTTTGAAACTAATAACTAAATCAATATTTCACAGCAAACTTAACATTCTACTTATACTTTCTGCAAAGAAATGCCATTTCAATGCTTCAGTATGGCTACTGTAGGACCAAGCATAGTGAAACATTTGCAAAGAATTAAACAAATCTTTATAGTTATGCATATGTAAGCATACATAAGAATTCATTCAAGTACAAGTTCATGCACGCTGCAATAAAATAATTTTTCTGTCCTTAAATGGGCCGTTCTAAGCCTTTTTTCTAAAATACTTTTCAATGTTTTAATCACTCGAGATTTACAATCCCTTTTATCTATACCAAACATAAGTTTTTTGGTACTTACATATAAGTGCAACCAGTTTCGCAATTTTTTACAGAAGATACACATCTTATCACATATGTATTTTATGTTTTAATTAAGCTTTTGTCTTGGAAATCAATTACCTCACATACTTACAAGTGGTTCTTTGTTTCTAGAAAATATTACAGTTGCTTTAAAAACAAGCCTTCTCTTTTGTAACCTTTGGCAAATGATATTCCTGCTGAAATTTTGTCGTAATTTCTTTATTACAGGCAGATCCCACAAATGCATATTTTAAAATTAAGACAGTAACTATCACAATTCATCAATAAAAACACTTTGAACTTGAAATACAGCAAAGAACACATACAAAAATGGTAGTGTTGCCTGAGTTTAATACATTCTGAAACTTTTATTAACATCATTGCACTAATACATAAGTACGGTTTTTTCCATCCCTTTGTTAATGCTCATGCACGGGTATCTGTGAAAATGCAGCTGATGACTATATTAAAACAAATGTTCATTTCTCAAGCTACTAAGTGAATCCAATGATATAAAGCTTAGGCCTGAGAGTTTAATCATAAACTACAGCATAAAAGTATTTACTATTTCATTTAGCAAACAAAGGGGAAAAAAATACAAACATCCACAATCTGATAGAGGATGTTGTATAACATTAATGGCCAGTCAACACAAACTATACATGCATTTAATATTGCACAAATCAGAGAGACATTAAACATTATACTTCTCATGTACCCACCTTATTACTAGTCAAGAATCTTTCATATAGATTATTAAGTAGTACACGTTATATGTTAAACTGCTTTTGCTGTGCACAACAAATTGGGAAAATTTAGACAGTGCAGCTGAATTTATTCCAAAACTTTTAAGTCTTGAATAAATTAAGTACATATTTTCAGTTAACTGCTGTAGTCCTACAAACAGATAAGAGCCAATGCTTTGAAAATGTAATATTACAGGGATGCTGCTAAATAATGGGCAAAATAAATTTTGTAATTTTTCTTTGAACTGATTTAAATTTCGCGATTCAGTCTCCCATTTCGGGAGGGAAAAAAGGTTAAGATTTATTTACACATTTCGACTAAAAGCGTAAAGTTTATATTTTGAATTCTCTGTCAGTTGGCCTTATGGACACATACTCAAAACTTATTCTTCCTCCGAGTTTTACAATAGCTTCTTTTAAATAACAATTCTTTAAAGGGAATTTATAAATTTAATCTGAAGATCTAAAAGCAAATCCTCTACTTTGTACAAGAGTCTCATTAGCCAGTCTTTATTTTCTTTATCAGAATCATGGTAACATTTAATTCCTTATTAACAAATTCCTTCACCGTTATTCCATTTATTATTTTAATTCCAAAAACTGTATTTGGGAATTTACCATTAGAAATTCTCTGCATTTAAACAATGCTCAATAAATGCTAATGCCTTGAAAGCTCAAATTTATTTTAACGTTTTCTTAGGTCTGCAGTTGTGTTCACATGAATGTGCTTTCTACAGACTTCATATATTTATTAAAAACTTATCCTTACAATAATGCATAAATTATCTAAAAGCAAGGTTTTAAAAAAGTTTTATATTGGAAAGGAGACACTAGAAATAAATCCAGAACAAGTCCAGTAGATGGCAGATTCCTTTTAATACCAACAATTAATGCCCATTCAAATGCTGAATAATCATTTCTCTTAAATTTTTCTTCTCGATCATATTAAGTTATAAATGAAAATTCTGGATTATCACCATCTCGTTATTTTCAGGTGTTACATCTTCACTGAATGTTGAAAAATGAGATTCATCCATATCCACAAATAAAACAGCAACTTCTTAAACTGAAGATTTTTTTCCTCCTACACATTCTAGATATCTTTAGGTTATAAAATTCTCTATACGAAAAGTACAAACAGAAATGCACAAAAGTAAAAAAATAAGCCTCACAGCAAATTACACAATATTTCTGGTTATTCAGCAAGCAAAGCAGGATGTTCTGCAAAAAGTTTGCTCCATTATCACAGATTAATTGTTATCACACACACCACATATTGACCATCCCTCCACACCTGCTCAATCAGCATTTTTGTTAAACTAAATGCCAGATTTCTAGTATTTTGCCTAGTAAAGCCCCTTTTAGTTATTATCTTCCAGAACACACTCAGCAATTTGGGGTACTTGCATATTAATGCTATCATCTTAATAGAGGTCGCCAAATTTTCAGAATGTGCCAAACTCTGCGAAACATGCGCGTTAACTATTCTTCTGGCAACCATGCTCATAACAATTTCAAGCAACACCGCCATTTTATTTTTTGTTGTATTTTAATTTCCAATAGTTTTTATCAATAAACCATGATGCCTTAAACTTAGTTTTAAAATACGAGCTTGTGGAATTAGTCATCAATGGAAGAAACAGAGGTAAAATGGTACTTCTTTTTTATAGCAGCTCCCAAGACTGAATTGCCAATCAATTGAGGTATCTCACCAAAATCTGGCTTCGTCTTCTTTATCTTGCCACATAATTGTATAATAGCAGTGTGTTGCATTTTTGACGAGATTTTCGAATTCACATTGTTTATTTATCAATATATATTGCTTTTTTTTGTGTGTGAATACAATGTTAACAAGCTTTGATTTACCAAGTGATGAGGTAGATACCATGTCATTTATTTTAACCACTTGCATTACGTCTAAACTTCACGGTTGTGGTGCCATGCGCTACAATATAACAAGCGGTAAAGTCTCTTATTTACGCCGCTCCGCGTCTGCAATCCAGAGCTGTAACTTGAGAAATAAACAATCTCATTGTTAGCCGACGCGTGCACCACGTTATTTTCATTTTTGCGATAAATGCCTATCGCCGTGGTGTTTGTGTCGCTCGAGTTTCAAGACAAAAGCATCTCAACGTGCGTGGCACGTCTTTTTAGTGCAAGTGGTTAAGAAAGAGGTCATTTACCAGACAAATGAGTCAGTAAAAATGGCCACAACATGAAACTTTATGTTAATGACAAAACTATTTGGAGGTTCAATGTTAAAAATTACAAAAAAAAGACCTCTGTGTTGGAAATTGGTTCGGCAGTCCCAAATTATCATTCATCACTGCTATTAGATTTACGTATTCTTAATCTTCATAGATACAGGAGCTACATAATTCTTAGGTAGAGGTACTGATGTCCACGAAATGGTGTAACAAACAGCTTAATATTTGTGAAAGTGATGCAGTCGACTGGAACAATTACATGCCAAAAAATAATAAGAAGGATACGGACTCAAAAATAGTCTTAAAAAATGACATGCGAGTACTATTGTTATTATTATAAATTGTGTCGTGTATTTTTACATTTGTATTTCACGAGCTTGGCGAAATTATAGCTGAAATCTTGGCATAAATCTAA